TAAAATATGTCAAGGAAAGCAGAAGCCAAATGCAGAGAGATGAGGATAATGATACAGTGAAATGATGCACCCATATGGAGTTGCGGTCCCTGGAGCCAGAAGTGACCACCCGTCCAGAAGGAGAAGCCAGCAGTAATGATTTGCAGGTCTCACTCCCATAAAGGACTTACAAGGAAGCAAGATGCTATCTTTCATAGCATTTTTTTCCCCCAAGTAAAAGAGACTGCATAGAGGGAAAGGGTTAGGTATTTATGGATAAAGGAGACAAGCAGTTATTAAGAGCAGTGCAAAGATAAGGTTAGACTTGGATGATATAATGTGCTGATAAAACTGGGGGAGATATCTCCTACCCAGAGTGTTTTAAAGCCCTTGATCACTGTTGCAATACTAACCAGTTAATTAGAGTTGGGACACATAGCAATTTACTGGGAAATGAAGTTTCAAGGTGCTTTAAAGTAAATTGACAAAACACTCCCCAAGTTTGCACAGCACTGTTTCCAGAATGCTTTGATATCCAGGTACATTAATAAAAACAAAGCAAATAAAAGCAAAGGTATAGATTCCTGAAACGCTGTGGGAAAAGGCCAAAGAAGGAAATACACTTTCTGAAGAAGAGCTGGGTTTCGCAGATGCAATGGACAATTTCATACCCTTGAGCAGGGATTTGGTCAGGACCTTGCATTCCCTAGCTGAAAACCCCACGGCCAGGCAGCAACAGCCCAGGCAGGGAGCAGACTCCAGCCTCCTCCATCTGCTGAGACTGATGCACATCACCAAAGCACACCCGCTCCTCTTGATAGGAAGATGGGTGAATGCATGGACACCACTCTTACAGCATCCTTGCACAGTAACAACATGATCGTGTGTTACAGACCCCAAACTGAGGAAACAGAGAAGTCCATGGACACAGGGAAGTGCATTTCCTCCAGTCCCAAAGTGGGACAGGTTGAGGTCTGGGTGGTGCTGCAGCCCCTATGCAATAGTGGTGCCTGTTTGGCAGTGGGCTGATGAGCCAAGGACCACAAGCTCCCTGAGCAGCTCTCTACACCCGCCTCTGCTGCAGAGAGATCACTTTTTTCCTCATTTAATGAATATTTAAGTAAGCTGTGCAAAGTGGGAACACCATTGGCAAAACAAAAAGGGTATTCTGGGATCAGCCGCTCCCACACACATTTACAGGAACTGTTCCTGGAAATGGGTTCAAGTTCCCCCAGGCAGTAAAGGGAATTGAGCCTCTCACATCTGGGGTTAGCGGTATAATTATCTTCAACTGAGTAAAAAAGCAATGGGTTCACCCTTCCTCTTTGGTTTTCTAACCCAGGCTTTTATCTCATTTGCTTTTACTTCAGAGTTGAAGATGAAATGCAACACAGAGAAAGAGAAAACACTGGAACAAGATGCGTGGGATTTTTTCTTTCTTTTTGGGCAAGAAAGTATTGCTTTGCCTTCATTTAAACCAAGTTTTTTTTCACAATTGATTGCTCTTTGTCAGAGAACTAAAGAATTAATAAGTATACTATTAATTGCAGTTTGGGATTTTATATTGAGCTCTCTTTTTTCTTCTACAAAACAAGCAATGCACACAAAAAGCTTTTAAAAATTAACAAATAAATGTCACATAAAATAGTTAGGTTTTATTAAAGGCACAAGTTAAAAAATTATAAATATCTTCTTTGTTAAAGAGATCACTTTTTTAAAAAGAGAAACCATATATCCATATATCTATATATCCATATATCCACAGACCACGGTTCAAGTGCAGTTTAAGAATATTACTCTTCTTTTGGGGAACAAATAATGAGCTGTAGTTGACTTTAGGCTGTTTTTGAAAATAATTTAAGCATTAAGAGAAAAAGAATACCTATGAAAGGAATTCTTGCTTTTCTTTGGGCACCTTTCTCTCTTGCAAATTAGTATTTAGCAAATGTCATTAATATGGCCTTATCTGTCTCAGCAAGACCTGGCAAACTTCACTAGCAGAAAGTTGAAAGCCTTGCTTCTAATTTGTCTTTGTAATATAGTCACATCATCAGACTTGACTTGTTACACTGGACTATTAAAATAAAGTAGCAACTAGGAAAGAGGAGGTTAAAAAAAAAGAAAGAGGTGGAGGAGAGAGCAGAGTACAGGATCAGATGCAGCAGCCACCTAGGCAAAAAGGGAGGAAAGTGGTTGCACAGCCCCACAACTACCTGCAAAAGTAAAATCACCTTTCACTCTTCAGGTAATCTTTTCCTAAGAAAAAGGGCACTAAAAGAAATGGCAGACAAAAACATTGACAACTGACAAAATTTTTTACTATCAGATTGTCCAAACATGGTAATGGTATGGTGATCGTTAAATGTGTTACAAATGAGCAGCTCTCTAGTGTATTTGACCCCGATTAGCCATCTCCATCTTGCTAGCACTTATGTGAGGGGGATGAGTGTCCCTGGTGGTGCAGTGGCTAAACCACAGCGTTGTCAACGCTGAGATCTGGGTTCGATTCCCGGTTAGGACACTCCCCGGGCAGATGGAGCTCGCTAGCCCTGTAAGGCAATCCATCTACGTCCTGAGGACCTCGCTGCCACCGTCCAAAGCGTGCTTGGCCCCGGCAGATGAACCTCAGGATTAAAGGGTGGGCTCAGTTCCGCGCACACTGTGTCTCACCTAAAAAATCCAATGCGCAGGCTGGAAGGTGGAAAGACCTTCCCCGGTTCTTCGTTCACGAAGAGACTGGCCATTATTATGTGAGGGGGAAATAGTGGTTATATTGGGAGAGCAACAGCAGGCAAAAGTTTCTGGGACAGCTGAGAAGTAGCAAGGTACCCTACACACAGCGTGAGTCTGCCCACACAGGTATTAGTCAAAAATCTCCAGGTATCACTACCTCTTCCACAATCCATGCATGAATGAAAGATGTTCACCAGGGTCTAAATATATCTTTCCCCCTTACTCCTTCACTCTGGGGGCTGACAACGACAGCGTGCAAAAACATTGGCAGGAAACCCTCTTGCCTTGATTAGTAATAATCATTATCTTGGCTTATTCTTACCAGTATTTCAAAACATGCAAATGCATCAAACTTCCCATCTTGTTAATTAAATTTGTCACAGGAAAATTAAATTATAATTCATAGGTCAGCCTACTGTCACGCTTCCTATAAGAACTGTTCCTATTCAGCTGATGACTGGGATAACACAAGATGGATAACATGCACCAGATTACTTTGCACCATGTGGATTCTGACTCGCTTGCTTATTTCAGTGTTATTTTCCAAAACATATGCCAGGTCCAGCAGTAAACCATGTCCCTGGTGCCATACCTACATGCTTTTTGAACACTTCCAGGGACAGTGATTCCACCACTTTCCTGGGCAGCCTGTTCCAGTACCTGACCACCCCTTGCACACCATCTCTGTAAAGGAAGCATTCGGCAGAGGGGTAAACTTTGCAACAGCCAAGCCCACATCAGACAGTAAATCATGAAAGTTTATATTTAAAAATCACCCAGGTGGTAATTTATATTCTTCTGCTTCTTGTGAAGGGGAGGGGAGGAAAGGAGAATCATCCCTGTGTAAATGAGTAATATCAGCTTCTTCCTTCATCAAGACTGGTACTAACAACATTTCTGTATTTGCAGAAAACATGAAAAACACTGAAATCACCATGTTACTCTGTGAGAGCAACCATCCTTAACACAAAAACGATCTTCTCTTCAGGGTGTCCACAGAGACCGACAGCAATGCAAGTGACACTTGCTGACAGCAATGCAAATCATCTCTCTTTTGGACACACTTCCAACACTATTGTCCAAGATTAAATACCTTGAAATTCTGCCTGGAATTACATTATTTTAAGGGAATCATGTTTTTTCTGTGCTCTTAATGTTTTAAAAAGGAGATCTGCTCAGGAGGATATTAAATTGACACAAATCTACCTATTATTCTCTTTATTTTAGAATGAGAGCAAAAAACTTAGAAACCAGTATCACCACACTTCTTTTGTAGTAGCAAAGAAGAAACTGGACAAGTAAACTAGTCAGCCCTGCATGCTCAGATAAACTTCCCACTTTCCTGTGCTATCTGTGCATTACCACCATACTGAAAACCAAGGGTGTCCCTAAGGTACCACAAAATGCTTCCAGCAAGCATCAGCAGGGAGGATGCTTCTGCAGGGAGAAAGGCTTTGTAACAGGGCATGCAGCCACGTGCGCAGCAAAACAAAAGTGTAGAGCTCAGTAGGGAAAGACGTGGAACTGGCAGAAATACTCCTGTACTGCTGAAATGAACGCTGCTCCCACTCATACCACAGCTACATTTCTCACATCACAGGTCTCTTCCCTCTGTTTCAGGGTTGCATTAAAAAATGAGAGAGACAGCAACACTTTGCACAGAGCCTTAGCCTCTGCAGCACTGGCTGTAGGAAAATACTGGTGTTTCACTGCCACTTACCTTTATCAGTGCTGGCACAAGCCATGCTGCCCAAATACATCCTCCCCAATCACCTGCCTTAAGTAGAAGCTTTAAAGGAAACTCACTCATTACAAGAATATAGCACCCCAAAAAAATTAGTTTTAAGGTCATTTTGCACTTTCAAGTTGTTAGACACCAGATCAATTATTATCGTGTCAGAACCACCCTGTGGGGAGAGTGTGTGTGTGTGCAGGGGGAAGGGATGGGTTGAACCTCCTGAGGGTGAGGTGACACCGTATCCCTCACGACAGCCCCTGGAGCCCACATGATGAAGCTCTGGAGTAGCTGTCAGTCACAAACAGCCTGGGAAAACTGCAACACACCACTCATCTGGAGCCCCTAAGCCAGGTTCAGATTGGCAGGGACAGTGTCCCTCACCCTGGCCTGGAACCCCAGAGTGGCTGGTGGGTCAGAGACCCTGCCTGGAGGGGTTGGCCAGAGGGACCAGAGCAAATAAAACCAAGGGCATGTGTTTGCCTTGTGGAGTGGCTCTGCCATTGAACTTGAGAGCTGGTCTACAAGGCTTCAATGGTAGCAATATAATCTGTCTCTCCCTCTTTCTCCTTCTCTCTCCTTGATCCCTCTGCTTCTCTTTCTCTGCTCCTTTCTTGATGCTTAGGGTGGTTTGGAGCTGGAGGGATTGGACCTTGATTTAAGTGTTGTTGGTTTACTGAATTTTGACTTAAATGTTGTTTTATCAATATTGTAGTGAAACATTTTTTTCCAGTTTGTGTGGTGTCCTTTTGAACTTTGACCAAGCCCCCTTATTTACTCCCCTAAATTAATATAGAAATTCCTTGGAAACAAGCCTGTGGCTTATTCTCTTGACGCTATCTCAAGGTATTAAAGAACCCTATATCCATATATTAAAATAAAACTCGTAGCCAATCCCATGAGCCAGCAGCTCCTGGGTCAGAGTTTTACACAAGTGATCTTCCCATTTCCCTGCTCTCAGAGGACTAAATCACAGTGTTCGTGTCCCAGGCTAGTGGAGTGCTTTGCTTTAACGTAAGAGTACAACTATTTAATTGCTTCAATATTCAGGTTCTTTACTGTCACCTGAATTTGAGCCATCAGAGTCTTCTCTGCCAAATATCACTGACTGCCCCTCTCAGTGTACTCATACAAGCACAGTCCATTTCCCAAAACAGTCCATTCAAATCTGGGGAGAAAAGGGTGGCTGCCATCTCAATTCGCTTGCAGCTTTCTTTGTCAAATCCTCTGTTCTGCAGATGCCATGAACACAAGCTTGGAACACTTCAAATATAAAACTGTTCTTTTTGCTGTGTTTTACTGTCAACCTAAGCCACAAAACACACCATTCAATGACCAAAATACAATTTCAGCCAGCAGCAATGGCCTTGATTCCTTTTGGCCCAGGGAGTTACTCCTTCAGATTGAAATGCAAGTCAGTGGACTTAATAAAGCCACAGAAATTTCAACTGTTTAAATATCTGCTGTGCAAAAAAATTTAAAAAAAAATTAAAAATTAGCTGACATGAGAGTGATGCAAGTTGTGTAATGACACCGGAACGGTCCATTCTCCCCAGTTCCCCAGTGCTAGGTCGAACTTGGATAGTAAGGTAAAAGTAAGGGAAATCAACCACTCTACATTGCTGCTGAGTCCCCTATATATCCTATCTGTGGCAAATTTTCACCTTTACTAGGATCAAGGTAACAATGACTCCTCCATCTGAAGGGAATGTCAGGAAAGTACTTCTGGATCAATGGCTGGTAAGTGTCATACATAAACACACTTTGTTAGCCTTTAAACAGAATATGTCACTGGTAACCATATAACTAGACCCAAAAAAAAAGGAAATAATAAATGTCTAAATCTGGAGCAGTATCAAATCCAGAGTTGCTCATCACCACCACATAAATTTTATTTTCATTCAAGGTTTAATTCAGCATAAACAAGGGAACAAAAATAAAAATTATAATAATGGAATGGCATCTTCAATTGTTTATGAATTATCACACTAACAAAAAAAAAAAGAAGAAAAAAGAAAAAAACAAGTGTGTTGGAAAAGAACTGTTGAGTATGCTATACATCAAAACCAATTTTACTTCTGGGTTCTCAGAATGGAGCATTTCAATTTTCACACTCTAAAACAAACCATACGTGAGCTTTAAATGCTCCAGATGGGACGCCTTTTGTTAAAGCTTTTGAAATCAGCACTATAGTTCTGTTTCATGGATGGATTTTGGTTGGTGTGTTATTGCAATCAGTAATGCTAAAACAGTCTGTCAAGCTCTCGAGATGACAGAAGAGAGAACTAAGGGGAAAGAACACACACAAACACCCTTTAAAAACCCATACTATGTCATGACATTTTTTTTGGAGGACATGAATCGAGAAATAAAGAAAAGGCACTCAGCACACTCAGCAATGGCTCAGCTGGTAAATCACAGCTCGTCATTCCACACACTCTGAATTTATAGGTGAAAGCCTGTGGGAAACAAATAAATCGTATTTTCTATATACAATAAACTGCAGGCTGGAATCAGTATCCTGAATATTTTGTAACACAAATGAAAGAGATTACTTTCTAAACACAGCAGTCCAAGCTATACACTTAATGAGAAGATGATAGCATAATTAATTAACTTTAGTCAACACGGTTTTACAGGAAACAGGTCTGGTCAAGCAAACTTGCTCCTGTTTTCTGATAGAACCATGAGTTTGATGGGCAGAAGACATCTACAGTCCTAGGACAGACTTCTGTACAGTTCCCAAATGCATGCAGCTAGAAACTCTGACTGTTTTTAAAAGCATTTATACAAAATCAATGCAGCCAATGCCAAATCGATTAAAAAGCAGCTGACAGTGAGTTCACACACATGAATGAAACCCCTCTAATCATAAATGGGTTTCATCATCTGCGAGTAGCTTATTTAATGGGGCCTACAGGGATCTGGTTACAAAACTGCTTCATGTCTTCATCAATTATCTGAAAGAAAACACCGATCAATTTTTGGTAACAGCTGGAGAAGAGTCAAAATTGGATGAAGGGGGATAAATACAACTGTAGATGTGTCGATTATTTAAGTCATCTTGAGTTGCCTGACAAGAAGGGTTCTCCTGAACTACACTAAACCCATGCAGCCAGCTGAAAAATTGCAGGTGTACTGGAAAGACTAAGGAATAAAGGATGAGGACCTACAGCAATGTTGAAGTCACTGGATGAGTACTGTGCCCTGTCCCAACGGCGGCCCATCCAGGGGAAAACACTGACAAATTGGAGCAGGATTGGATTCAGGAAAATGACACAAAATTTATCTGAGATTGAGGAAATGAAGCAATACCAAAAGACTTTCTTATTTGCCCAAGAGAGCTCAGAGTTGACTTGTTAACAACATTTAGTTTGTTACAGAGGAAAGAGGTTTCCATTCATAGGGCGTGCTTTAATCTAGTAAGAAAAGATATAAAAGTATCTAATGGCAAGTCTAAATTCAGACTTAAAAGCCATATTTAACATATCAAGACCTTTTCCTAGGTAAAAGAATTTCCCATTTGCTTTGCTGTTCTCAACAAAAACGAGGGGCTGCACCAATGCAGGGGGCATGTACCTGTTAGATGTGAAAATAACTGACTTTAAAATTAAAAACTAAATCAAACCCCTTACATTTCATAGGCCTACAAACTTCTTCAAGGCTTCACTGAAGAGGCAATGCTGGCTAAGCCATCCTGCTGAAAGATCGATTTCCTAAGGAAAAGAAAGCACCATATAATAGGGCCTTGAAGTGAAACAACAAAGATAAGCAAGGGACACGGGAGGACTTTCCCAGGCCTTGGTCGCTGCTGGGAAACCTCATCATTCATAACACAAGTCTTTCAGGAAGATTAGGGTTATTATTTTTTTGAGCAGTAACACTTCTGTTGTAACCATGACTGTCTAAGGATACAGGACAGGTAGGATTTGTAGAGAGACGCAATACTTTTTACCAACACCTCTGTGAAAAAGGCACACACACAAACCCCTTTTACAGGTGCAAGGTAAGGTTTGGGATGGAAACCAGAGGAACAATGATGAGAAAGGAGGTGGTGATGGGGAAACGGAGATGGATGATGGAGAACAGTCCTCACTGGCATTTGTATAGCCTCCCCTTGCCCCACACCAGCCCTTGCAATCTCAGCACCAATCCTCCCTGCCCCACTGCATCCTGAGTCCAGCACCAGGGCTACAAGGCTCCCTGCAATGTTAGCACTGTGCAACTGCTTTAATAAATAACTGCACTTAATTCATTAACTCTCCAAGATTAGCAGAAGACATACACTGCAGCCAAGACCAACATAGCCAAGTAAATTCTGAGTTTTCAGGCCAAGTCACAGAGTTATGACAAGCCAAAAGGATTTTTTTACATGAGGAAAACATTTGCTAAGTACTTTTCATTCTTCAGAATGAAAAAAACTCCCTGTAGGATTTGTTTTAAACAAGGCTGTTCCTAAAGCAAGGATTAGTAGAAAATGTGATGAAGAGTTTTTATTTTAATGATATTTTTAAGTACATAAAAGAAGTGGATTCTTATAAAAAGTCAGCTTCAAATTCATCTATGAATAAAAGCAGCAAAGAGCTGCCAGACCTAGTGAAAAACGGTTGGGGTGGATGTGGGTAGAAAGGAGATTCTCCAGGAAAACTCTCTAGCATAAACCTCCCTGGTCTGAGGGACCAGCCCTGCCTTCATGGAGCACAGCATGCCCCCAAAAAACCACTCCAGTGAGCACTTGCAAGCCAACAACCTCTTTACATCCATTAACATTATGGTCACTGCAAGAGTGTTCCATTATACTGCAATTCCAAACAAGTGCATTCCTGTGTTAATGATTTCATGCTCGTTTAACTTCACTGCCAGGCTTCAGGCAGGTCAGGAGCCCTCCAAGTTCCCATGCACACACTTTGCATTAATGTGCTGCTGCCTGAGGAAATAATAAGTTGGAGAGTTTCCGTGAAGCCAGCCTGGCCTTCAGATATGTATGTACACAAACCCCTGAGGAGAGATCTCGCACACAGATTGGAGGAGGACCTGCAAAGAGACACCATCCATTAGAAGCAATGGGAGGTGGCCAGGCTGGTCCCCTTCCTCATGGGGTCCCTCTTGCCCTCCAGCCCTGCTCACCAAGTTTCTATTCAAGCCCATCCCGCATCCCTGCAGTGGGATCTCAGACAGCCCTCTGCTGTCCCCTATGTGCCCCAGGGTGCTCATTCACCTGTGCTGGGGCCAGCAACGAGTCCAAATTGATGAATGCTTTGGGGCAGACCCCACACCTCAGAGCACTGGGCCCAGGCACACACTCCAGGTACACCACACTATGTGCAGTGCATCTTTGGGGCTGAACCAAAAGACCCCACAACTTTGACAGGAATAAGAACAACAAACTAAGCTCAAGAACTCAACAGTATAGTTGATCGTTAAGAAACTCCCCAAAGATCTGTGCTTTGCAAGTGATAGATGTATCATTTACCTGGGAAAATCTTATTACTCCTACATATCTAATATATGTTAACATAAGCTTTGTATGAAATTTGTATGAATGTATTCCTATACCTGAGCTTAGACATTAAGATGCCAATAGTTTCTTCAAATAAAAAGGCAGAGGTATGAAGGCTGACAGTAAGCTCATCTTTTAAATACTCAAAAAGTCCCCAGGGTATTACAAAACTCAAGAACTGTGGTGCGTTATTTCACAAAAAATGCAAGGAAAAAGTGGAATTTCTTATGAAAGGTGACGCACAGTAGAGTGTAATTCCCACTGTATAAGAATATAAAACCAGAATAATAACCTAGCATTAAGTACATATAGAAGTTATTATTAGGGGAAATTGCAGATTTTCTTTTTGCTATGGATTTGGAAAATTCTAAAGAGAGTTTGAAAAGTGACAGAACCTTATTCAGAAAAGTTTCTTCCAAGTGGAGCTCCTTTTAAAAACCCTTGGGAATAAACATTCATCTACACCTTCCATTCCAAAAAAAAAAAAAGAAAAAATGGAAAAATTGGGAAGAAAGGTGATCATGGCAACGCTTGGTGAGGTGAGCTGGGATGGTTCCAGCCTTCTCTGGATGGCTGCAACCTCTGTGCCTCAGCCACCCCAGTTCTCGGTGCAATGTCTTTATGACAACCCCACTTCCTGAGGTAGTTCTGTCTAACGTGCTGTGACAGAGGAGCATAAAGCCATTGCAAACCAGTGCTGCTGGAGAGGATGTTCTGGCCTTCCTTGCCACCTGCAGCTGCTCTTTCCTCTCCTGTCTGCTCCTGCCAGCATGGATGCTGTGGAATGAGCTGGTTCAAGGAACTAACCCATCTGAAAATGCTCCCAAGATGAAGTATAATTAATATGCCATTGGTTTTGCTACCTCATGCAGCTGGGTGAACCCCAGTGGTGGCAAGAGAGGGAAAGGAAACAGAGAAAAAAGCAGTGAGGGCAACGCAGGGGTAAGGTGCTTCAGAACAAGCTTCAGGTCCTATGCCTCTAAATTCTTGGATGGAAAAAAATTGGGTGGGAAGTTTATATTTTACAAAATTGCCCCAAACCCAATGGAAACAAATTTCTGAGAGGTGGAAGAAGGGGGAGAAGGAAGGCTGTTTGTGAGTGGGACTGGCCCAGTCATCCCTGTGGGTCTGAATAACTCCTGCTGGCATAGAGGACACAGTACCACACCACACCACCACAGCACTTGGGAGAGCCAGTGGCACGTGCCAACATTCAGCAGGGCCCCAGAAATTCAGATGTTGTTTGATCTCAAAAGCTCAGCCCACACCGTCTCTGCCTTGCTTGAGTAATGCTGGATTCATTGCAAGGCAACCCATCCTGTAACAAACCTGTGTCAAAACCTGAATGCTACCACTGGATGGAAGTACCTCAGCACACTGCAGGTAAAGCTTTTTTCTTCTGTGTCCTTTGTTTTTCAGTCACTTTCCACCATGCCCTTTTACCAACCTTATCCCTTTTGTGACAACATGATGTTTTGGTTTGTAAGCTTTTAGGTGTCAAAGTATATTGACACTTTGGCAAACAAGCCCCTCCTGTAAGCTGACAAGCATGACTTCCCTGCAGAAACTACAAGTCTGCACCCTCTGCCACTTCTGGCTGATATAAGACTGTGAGAGCAAACTTTACATCAAACCTTGGAAACTGAATCCTTTTATTTATGTTACTAGTTAAAAGAACTGGAGACCATTCACTAGCTTTTAGGAATATTAATATCCCCATCTATCCCCTTCTTCCTTTCATTGCTCAAAACTATTATTCCTTGCTTCTTAAAACCTCTGCATAGAAACTCTAGTGTTTGTAACCATAATGTTATCCATAAAGAAAGGGTAGTGATAAAGTACTGATAAATCTGGGTTAGAGAAGTGGATTTTCATAATCAATTTTCATAGGGCAGAAAATTCAGCTCCCCAACATTGTGCCTGCTATTGAAATATGCAAGTTGCTGTCAGGTGTGTAGACTGATGAGGATTACCGTATTGGAGTGGAGGGTCATTATAAACATACTAATTAGTACCATGAAGATGACAAATGCAGCACTTCAAACAATGTGAATACTAGGTCACAAGAGTCAGAAAGCTGAGTCCATAATTAATAACATAGCTTATGGTGGTCAAACAAGAGAAGTAGAGAAAAGATTAAATTTTTTCACTGAATCACCAAACACTTGCCAGAAAGATCACACTAAAATTTGGGCAGTAAAGTTTTTTAATTCATAACCATGAAGTTTGACCCCAGTTCAGAAACCAACACCATATAAAATAGCAGCATTGTATCAAATAGGCTATTTCATATTCAAAAAGCCTTTTCACCAACAGAAATATTTTCCCAAAACTTTTCCCTCTTTCCACAGTAGTTTAGAATTGCTCTAATGAGAGAAAGTTGTGATTCAAATCCAGAAAACTCTGCATCAGAAGAAAAGGCCACAAACCAGTGAGTACCTATAATAATCCAGAAACATTTCCTAGTATTTCTTGCATGCAAAGAAGCCTTCTGTGTATTTGTTTCTCCTGCAGAAGACAGCAGAAAGGAAGAAGTGAAAGAGCTGGAGTTTGGAGGGTCAGATTTTGTACGAGCTACTAAATCTCTCAGTTTGTAGACCATAAAACTGCTGAAAATCAGTCTTTGTGAATATTTTTAAGCTGCAGTGTTTACATAAATTTGAAAATTGCTTCACATCAACATCAAAGGACAAAATAAGATTATGTCTTCCGTTTGATAATGGATCTACAAAGCAAGAAAATCACTCTTCTTTAACCTACTTTCTGTTCAGTTTACAATATAATACTGAAAAAAATAAAGGTAAGATTGTATGGAGAGGTCCCCATGCAAATAGGGAGCCAAAATCTAATCTGAACTCAAGGTGAAATGCACAGAATTGAAAATATCTTCTACTTTCAGCTACAACTAGCTGTTCTAACTTCACAAAGACGACTGTGGAGAATTTGACCTATATTTTCTGAGAGAAATTTCTCCTGTTAATAAAACATACGTATTTTTAGGTTTCATTCACTCTCTTTGAGCAGCCTAATAGTTTTGAGATAAAAATACTATAGAGGAAACCCCCCACCCCGCATATCAATGAAAAGCCCTCAGGGAATGACAGAGCATTAACCTGCCCAATAACCGCATTAACCTTCCCCCAAAGGACATTTTCTCTGAAACTGTGAAAATCTGAACATGTCAGAATATTAGGTCTTCCACCATATCACTCCATGCCCTTCTGTTGTGAAAGGGCAGTTATTACTGTAAAACAACAGTTTAAGGCAGAGACAACAGTACTGATGATTTAATCAGGGAGTTTCCTCATAGGCTCTCCCAGTAGAAAGTACTTATAAACACTGCTATCCAGAGTCTTTTCAAAGTCAGGAATAACAAATATTAATTATCTTCCATGGACTACCTTCATGGCTGCCTCTGTAAACTGACATTCAGGAACTGTGAGGATTAATTACAAGTAATGAAGCTCACTTCTGCATCGCACAGTTAAATACAACTCCCTGCAAATGAGTTTGACCTTTCTAGCACCACATGCTCTGGAATTCCTTATTCAGAAGGGGATTACCTGCAGCCAGCATCTTCACATGAGAACCAGGATCATATATGAACCAGGCCAAGAACCTGGCTCTATATTCAGGCTTTAAAAGCGAAATAGGTATTTGACAGGAAATCATGTTCAGTAAATGAAATCGTGTGAACCACTGACAACTGAAGAGGCTTCCTGCAGAAAATGCTGAATGACAATTGCGCGGTCTTGTGCATATATGTGAAAGGTGTGTCTGCACTAATACACAGCTCGCTACAGAGAGGCCTGGGTTGTGAAGCTTGAAGCTACCCCAAAATCAGAGTGTAACAAGATTAGGACCACTGCAAGACTGAACTAAAGAGTGGATATATTACTGACAAACTATTCAGTCCTAGTAGCACACTGAGAAACATTTCCATACACTCAACTGATGCCATTAAACACAAAATTTTATCATGTGTTCCACGTTGAGATATTTCGGAAAAGAAGCAAAGCCATAGGATTGTATTGCAATCCAGTTTTGCAAAATGAACATGAAAAATTGTATCTAATGTAATTATTAGTTTGGAGAGGCAGGACTTTTGTTAAATCAGTCATGTAAAACACATCTTTGGATTGTTGCTTGAATCTCAGATGCTGAAGCCAGGAGTTTATGGACACACAGAATATGAAGGGAAGTTCATCAAAAAGATCTCATTGGCCTCAGACATGTTATTTTGTTTGGGAAAAAAAGTAAATTCACAGTGGTATGAAAGAAATCTTGAAAAAAATTAATGCTCTAACGTTTCTCCACAGATATGCTGATTCAACAAATCATGTCTTAAAAGTCACATTTGACATCAGAATTTAACAACCCTGATGGGGTTGATCCTCACAAACAGGGAGAGTCACTTCCCTGCCCTGGAGAAAGTGGACTGCCTCCTCCTTTAATGTGCTCACTTCTAAGGCTGGGAACTGCTTGGTTGCTGTTGAGTATTTACAGGTCAGTTTGCATTTTTGTAGACTTTAGTTGCTGCCTTCAGTCATTGCTCCCAGCAGAGAAGAAACAGTTTTGAAATGCCACAAAATTGACAACCTCCACTCTACCAGAGGAAAGCCACTAAATCTAACATCACTTCTCATCACCTACCCTTTATAGGTCAGACGTATCCAACTGCAAGTTAAGATTAAAAGTGGCTTGCTACTAATCTTAGCACAAACATTAGTGCCGCTCTAATACACTGTGCTGTGCAGCAGGGTGGGAGATGAAATAATCAGCTATCTGGCTGGCCTCTAACCTTGGCCTGGAAGTGCACAGGGGTGGGAGCAGCATTAAAAACGGGTTTAATGATCTCTGCCTGTCTGGGTCAAGTTTAGTAATAATTCTAACGAAAAATACATGTAGCCTGACTTCAAGATCCTTTGGAAGATGCAAAAAACAACTCTGACTTATGTTGTTCTTTGCCAAAGGAATACCATTTTGACAGTACCTGTCAAAACTGGCATGCCTCCTGTTTTGTCTTGTAGCCGCTATCATGACTTGGGATTCAATGCTCACAGCAGCTTTAAAAATTTTTAATGAATAATTACACCAGCTGATTTTCCATGTGACTTTAAATTCATCAATATTATTACCTTTGGAGATATTCATGTAGTGGTCCCGGTGGAGCATTTCAAGAAAGGCCAAGGGTAACACGTTTGGATCTATAAATTCAACATGGAACTGTTTCCGGTTATTTCCCTAAGGATCTGTTCCCTAGGTACATTAAAAACAAAACAAAACAAAACAAAACAAAACAAACAAACAAAAAACCAAAAAACCACAAAAAAACAAACAACAAAGCACCAAAACATAGCTCCCTTACAAATAAAGAAGCAAGATGAAATTGTCTTTTTCCTTCTGTAATTCTAAATGAATGCAGATGTCTGCAAATTATTAAGATTTCTTGGAAAATCAGTGACCGTAACAAGAACCTTCTGCACCCCTTGATGAGCAAAAGAGCCATCACCGAGTTATGAACCAAATTTATAGAGCAGAAATACTTGTCGACTTCATTTGGGGAAGAGGTCTGAGGTATAAGAAAAGCCTGAATATAATGATTTACATCATATGGAACCTCTCAGCCCTGTTCTCTTTTAATTACCTTCATCACTATGGAGACAATGGGCTTTTTGTTTCATTCTTTCAACTTCTTGGGGTGAGCACCGATGCCCTATTAACTAGAGTACTGCAAATAACAGCGAAGGGATATCTAGCCTTATTAAGAATTAGCTCATCTCATGATTTCTCTGCTCAAAGCATTGAATCCAAACTATCCTGCCAAGCTGCCTGCTGATAACAAACATGGAAAGACCATTTTAATTGTAAAAACAAAAGGTCTGACGTACTATCACCATCCCAAACAACATCAGCTGCTCCTTGCTGCTGCTGCTGCTGCTGGAAGGGGAAATGCTGCTGGGAGTCAGCTGAAGGTCGGCTGTTGCTGCTGCTGCTGCTGCTTCTTCTTAAAATGCAGAGCTAGTTTAAGCACAGATGCGATTAGAAAAACCTGCACAGATGGTTTTTGTCAGTGACTCTTCCATAAGTTACATTTATATTCACTTAAGCTTGGAGTAAAACAGCAACATTATCGTTTAAATTAATGAATTCATACTTTGGTTTCCTGTAATAGTTATTTCGTTGTTGACTGACTTACCTACTTACCTATTTCTGTACGGTCTATCAGACAACAGAAGGCACATTTTCACCATCCAGTGTATTACCTAAAATTCTTCACCAAATAGGAATGCTTATTACCATGAAGGAGCTGTGGTTAAAATAAAACAAACACAGATTTCCTGGGAGAAAGATGGCCAAAGTTTGAAGTGCAAGCATACATATAATCCTAATAAGGCTATGTTTGCTTCAAACCAGTGACTCTAGCCTCCATATGAACAATCTCATGCTTGATGCCAATGTAGGCCTAGTAATATAAATAATTTTGATTGTCAGCTTCAGGTAACCTAGAGCTCAATGTTGCACAGAAACCGTGACTAGCTCCTTCCTGGAGTCATTTAGCTAAAGAAACAGGTTAAAGAAGCACACTGAAGGTATCAGAATCAGCCACATGCCATTTGTTTTCCACTTCCCAGAACTGCCAGGTGACAAAGATATCAGTGCAGTCATATGTGTCTTTTCCTGCTCCCCAAGCCTGGCTGGCTGGGAACACCACTTGCATCCAGCAGCACCCTTTATAAGCTGCTGGGGAGATCTCAGCCTGGAATGCCTTAAAGACCTCTTTCCCCTCCTGTGTTAAATCACACTGACAGTTTACTAGAGGGGCCAGGGGAGCGTTCACCACTCCTAATAACACCAGCCACAATGCACAGCCCTGCAGCTGCCCCTTTCCCTCAACCCCACCCCAATCTTACATTTAGACTGTAACCATCCCTGAACATGTAACCTTTATGTAGCTGGGTTGTCTAGGGATTTTTCCTTCAGTATTTCCTGAATATTTTATATTCCTTGAGCACTGTTCACAGTAATTGAATAATCCAATAATTCCCAGCAATGACATACAGCTTAGTCTCTTTCTAATTTGAGCATGATGATACCTCATAAATGAATTGGGGCAAGCCAAAAAGTAAAGGCGTTTCAGGCAGTAATGAAATCTAAAATGCTCGCCTGCATCTATTTATTAATGTCATCACCGAGCAAAAAAGCAATAGAGCATCAAAATGAAACACGGCATCTGCGGCTCGCCTATCACCTATCACTTACACACACACACACAGTGTTAATTAAAGACTGCAAGGCTATTGTACAGGTTTCTCTTTATCGAGCCTTTCTGCATTATTCCATCGATAACCCAGACTAAGATGCTCTGATAAAAGCTCAGTAGAAAAATGTCCGAGTAGCCTGCCAAGAACCACACAGACTTGGCCTATGGACAAAACACAAATCCACAACTGTGGAAAGGAAAACAAAAACGAGGACAGAAAGCCAACTAGTCGTTCACTTCGGGATACGGAAAATAGAAGCATGTTTTTCAGCAGCTGATTGCTTACATGAAATATTTTAAACTTGCAGCACAGCCAGTTGTTGTTCAGAAACAGAACCACACCAGAGGTCACTGGGCTCCTGACTGTGAGCATCACTTGAGCAGAGAAAGGGGTTACAAGGACTTCTTAAGTCCCCCTCAGTGTAACTATTCACCTTTAGGAAGAAAAACCTTTCCTAGGAGAAAAGCCTGCTAGACCTCGTCACAGACTTGTGCTACACATGTTTGAGCTTCTATTGCAAAACAGCAGGAAGTTATTTTGACACTGAGCCAGGTTTTTGAGAAAAATGCATATCAGCTACCTCTCTGAACAGCAAACTACCATATCTATCTCAGGGTTAGCCATTTGTTAACAACTTTTTTTCTGATAACATACAGGGCAGATAGCTGTGTCCTCGGTCTAACACAGTGTCCCTGCTCTAGTTTGCACAGTCCTGAAGAATTTCTACGGCACTTTACAACACTTCACTGTTACAGTATAGTGTTTTCTAGGAATTCATATACATTTACTGACAGATTTACAGGAGAGCATTTCATGCTGATCATCTGACAGTACTATGCCTACAAAGCAAAAGAACGTCTCAATTTTGACATTAGTATGATTTGAGCAATGCTATCTCACGTGAGAGAGAAAAGTTGGAAGACAGGCAGAAAGAATGAGATCATGATCCTTTCCCTTAACAACACTGAACTGCAAGAGTGGAATTAGGTTGAAAGATCTAAGTACTATATATTTGTATACATTTGTGTTTCCAGGTAGACATATTACCCAGCAAGAATATCTTGGGGAAAAAACAAAACAAAACAAAACAAAGTAAACAAACAACCCCCCCCAAAAAACCCAAACCCAGCTAAACAGAGCTTTACTGTCTTCTTTTCTGGCTAAGGCTCCATCTCACAAACAAAACCAAAAAAAGCAAAGAAAAGCAAATTTCCATTCTGTGCCAAAGTACTTCATTGAATAAAAAATGGATTAAATTTATTTTTCTTTTTATATTTTTACCTTTTTTATAATTTAGTCTATATCAACATAAACAGTTTTGAAAACTCCGAACTAATTCAGTATCTCTGTTTTACCTTGAGCTGCAGTTTTTGGTAAAAAACAGACCAAACCAATTTACTTTAGTTTTATGTGCCCTGAGCGGGAGGACCATGACTGCAAGAATTATCATCTCCCAGGTGACCCTGAAATTGTGCAGGATCTACTACTCCAGCTGGATCCCTACAAATCTATGGGGCCTGATGGGATTCATCCCAGAATCCTCAAAGAGCTGGCTGATTTCAACGCAAAAACTCCCTCAATGATTTCTGAGCAGTCTGGGGAATCCAGAGAGGTCACAGCTGACTGGAAGCTGGCAAACATTGTCCTGATTTTCAAGAAGGGGAAGAAGGAGGACCCCAGAAACTACAGGCCTGTTGGTCTCACTGCAGTGCCTGTCAAACTTACGGAGAAGATTGTTCTGACAGGTATTGAAAAACATCTGAAAGACAACACAGGCATTGATCACAGCCAGTATCGCTTCATGAGAGGAAAGTACTGCTTATCAAACCTGATTTCTTTCTGTGACAAGGTAACCCACCTAGCTGATCAAGAGAGCCAGTTGGTGTAATATTTTTGGATTTCAGTAAAGCTTCTGATTATGTCTCTCATGGGATCCTTCTAGACAAAATGTCCAGCACACAGCTGGATGAACACATCAAGTGGTGGGCGAGCAATTGGCTCACAGGTCGAGCACAGAGGGTAACAGTGTATGGGGTAACATCAAACTGGTGAACTGTCACTAGTGGGGTTCCACAGGGCTCCATTTTGGGCCCAGTGCTCTTCAACATCTTCATAAATTACTTGGACACAGGACTGGAAGAGATACTAAGCAAGTCTGCAGACGACACCAAACCGGGAGAAGCTGCTGACTCCCTCGAAGGCAGGGAGGCCCTGCAGAGAGACCTTGACAAATTAGAGGACGGGGCAATCACCAGTTCAATACGCAGTTCAACAAGGGAATGTGCCGGATTCTGCACCTGGCATGGGACAAACCTGGCTGTACATAGACACTGGGGAATGAGATGTTGGAAGGCAGTGCCACAGAAAGGGACTTGAGGGTCTTGATTGATGACAAGTGGAATATGAAGCAGAAGTGCCCCAGCAGCCAGGAGGGCCAACCGTGTCCTGGGGGGCATCAGGCAGAGTATCACCAGTTGGTCGAGGGAGGGGATTGTCCCTCTCTGCTCTGCACTGGTGCAACCTCACCTTGAATATTGTGGCAGTTTTGGGCACTGCAATATATGAGAGATATTAAGGTATTGGAGAGTGTTCAAATGAGGGCAATGAAGGTGGTGAAGGGCCTTGAGGGGAAGCCATATGAGGAGTGGCTGAGGGCACTTGGTCTGTTCAGCCTGGAGAAGAGGAGACTGAGGGGAGACCACCTTGCAGTCTACAATTTACTTGTGAGGGGAAGATGAGAGGCAGGCACTGATCTTTTCTCTGTGGTGACCAGTGACAGGACCTGAGAGAATGACCTGAAGTTGTGTCAGAGGAGGTTTAGGTTGGATATTAGAAAAAAGTTCCCCACCAAGAGGACGGTTGGGCACTGGAACAGGCTCCCCAGGGAAGTGGTGACAGCACCAAGCCTGACAGAGTTCAAGAAGCATTTGGATGATACTCTCAGGCACATGATGTGACTCTTGGGGATGGTCCAGTGCAGGGCTAAGAGTTGGACTTGATGATCCTTGTGGGTCCCTTCCAACTTGACATATTCTGTGAATTACTGGATAGTCACTAAAAGCTAGACAACCCTCTTTTCTGGGGTTCATCTCTTCTGTTTCCTGAAATGCCCTTTTTCACCAACCCTCTTCTCTGTAGTATTGAGGTTGTTGCTGTGGCTTCCCAGAGAACACAGCAGCCTCAGGAGCTCTAACTCCACCTGTTCACAGATGAAATCCAACTTCTGTATCATAACTGGAGGTACAAAATCCATCACGTAACAACACTGAAAAATAATTACTCCATACCTTAGTGAATACAGGGTTCATACATCTAGTATCATGATGACCCAAGAGGCATTTATCCAATCATTGAGGTTCATTAAAATACACCAACTAAAGAGGCAGTGAATAGCAAAAAGGCTAACAAGTTGAAATTAAATGACAGTAATTAAGTAACTTTCCTATGTCTTCTCATGGTAATGCCTGGCACTGCCTCAGGCAAACCAAAAGCCAAAATCTCACACAAGGAACCACAGGAAAATTTGACCTTTTGTCGTTTGCCGCTGAGAAAAAACCCAACAACCCCATGGAAATGTAGTTCGTCATATGAGGACAGGCAGAATGAATCACACAGCTATTTAGATAATTAATACATACTTTACTAGTAGATCACCTTTTGCTCCTGAAGTGGAATTACAAAGATGGCAGGCCACCTGCTTAGTCTCCAAAGCCCTGGGAGAAGGGTCAAACAGGAGGGTAGAAAGTACTTTGAAAACCACTGCCAGCCCAAAAGGTATTACTGGCTCATGGTAAATACACTAAGAATCATTAAGCTATGTGTCCTGAAATTCACTTATGTGGAGTCAAAAGTTCAGAAGGACAGGCTTTCCTAACAACTGTACAACACAGCAGCTGCAAGGGCTGGAGCACTGAGCGATTCAACTTTAACAAAAGGTCTGAAGCAGAAGCTCAAAATTAATGGCAAAAATGTACACGAACTCTCTTAGTGCCATTCCTGTTTAAAAGATATATTGTCCAAAAGACAAGGTCCGCTCCTTCCTTCTTGTTGTAACCAACAGAATTTTAAAGAGCAAATAGAGAGAATACCTTACAGCCAGAACAGACCAGCAGTTTCTTCACTGATGCTTGATGTAAGGGTTGTGTGTGTCACGCCAAACTTTCCCCCTGACAAGGACTGGGCTGGGGCCATGTACTCTCCAGAGATCCAGGAGAGAGGGAGGATTTTGCAACTTTTAAATGCAAAATCACAAGGCTATCTAATTCTTCTATTTCTCACCTATTTTGTCTTCTATCCTCCTTCACCTTTGTTTTCCCTCACATTATTTCCCTTATATGAATTGCCTCGATGTTTTTCAGGCCCCATCCCATTTTTTCATATTCAGATCAAAATTAGGAATCTTTTTTTTTTTTGGTATAGATTTGTACCATTACTGTTTTATTTGTGATCACTCTATTTAGCCTCTTGTTTCAGAATGAGGACTTGTGGTCTGCTTTCAGATTGCCTCCGTGTCTTGTATCAAAATGTGTCCAATATCAAACTTTGCTGTAATCCCAGTCACCTCTCTTACAGCCTATATGCTGCCATTTCTATTCACCATCCCTGCTGTTTCAGTAAATTTCCAGCACACGTAATGATGGTCATGCACCTCTGATGCAAATATCTTTTCATGCAATATTTGAGGAAACATGATGTCAAATGTCCAGTGACTTCACCAGCTGAAGATCTGTTATTTGCAAAGGGCCATTCAGTAATAAAGTGAAAAAGAACCTCCAGCAATAAAAATATAAATGCAAAGTGACCAGTCATCTTTACTGCAACAGCTGCTGAGGAAACACAGGATTTCCTTGACTTAAAATAACTGAAGTGATTCCATCAGGTGGGAAACAGTTTCTAAAAAAGCTCTGTATTTTGTTCTGTTTCACTGCATTAACCCCAACAAGGTGAACAGAATTAGGAGCATTTTTTCTTTTTTAGTTTCTGTGTCTGCTGTAAATAAAAACCCGACCCATTCCTCCTGGCCACACAGACATTTCATTCACCACAATCTTCCGTTCCCATCAAAACAGCGTCACGGCTATGGCATGCCTTAAGAAAACAGAGCTACAGCAGCATGCTGCCGTCACTCTTGCAAATCTTGCCAGGCTCCAAAAAACCTGGGGAGCTCCTGAGTTCAGGCACCCCAACCCTGCTGCTCACAAATCACCTTCAGGCTCTGCCAGCACCTCTGCCTTCTGTGAGAGCAAAAATCAGCACAGCTAAAGTATCATAAATACTGCACTCTAGGTGACTTGCCAAAATGCAGTCTAGAGGCTGCTGGCTGCTTGTAATGTGTGAGTTTTCCTCTTCGTTTCCAGATATTAAAATGAACAAAAAAAAAAAAAAAAATCTAACACTTTCTTTTCCCAGGAGTACTTTTCTGTGGGGACATCTCTCGGGGACATCTCTCAGGGCAGCCCCAACTATTAACATGAAATCAGAAGAAGTAACACATGAAATTGTCACTTTGCACTCTAAAGTGATGTCCTGTGATCACACATAAAAGTACTCCACAGTATGCTCCTTCCCTGGCTGATCTGAGAGCCAGCAAGAGCACACCCACATAAACAGCAACTCTCCAAGCTTTGCTGGGATTAGATACAGGGGTGCAGTGCAGCTGAGGTTCATCTTGCAAGGACTTCTTCCAGAAACATTCTGAAGGAGGGAAAATAAACTTGCATTATTTCCAGAACCAAGGAGTTGGTTAGAAGAGTGTCTTTACCCGTTTCCATCCTCCAGCTATCCTCATTGCTCATTCAAGACTCAAGGTTTGCGAGTACTTCGGGGAATCCCTTAACCACAGTACACCTCTTGCCTGCCTAGAATGACCATGGTGTGGATTCTGTATTTTATTTTCTTTCTGATAGTTAGTACAAAAAAACACCTCTAAACTGTTTATGAGTCTTCAAGGACAAAAGGATCTCCCATCTGTGTGGTCACAGCTCAATATTCATGTTACTGTTTACTAGCGGTGTGATTCTTTCAGGGAAAGATGATACAGTAACACCAAAAACTCAAAGACACAGAGTGAAAACATCTTACATTAAAGAAACCATGCTTTCCAGGTGGAGAAACATTCAACACGTACTGAGTTATCCATTGGCTTTTTATCATTGAATGTTTCGGATTGGAAGTGAACTTGAGGATCATATAGTTACAAAACCCCTTTTATATCTGTTGGCTCCCATGATTTTGTAGTTCACTGGCCACACAAAGAAAAGTGAGGAAATGTTTTGGAAACTAATTTTTACAGTGCCTTTTAGAATCCACCTTAACTCACTGTTTCAAACTGCATAACATGGATAAATCGGCTTCCTCTGACTTGACTTAAAAATGCAATCTAAGCATCACACAATTCAAAATAATTGCATGGTTTCATTAATTCCTATGTGGTGACTCAGAGTTTACTGAGCTTCCAAGCAATGACAGCACACGGTGGAATGAGAAAAGGGCTGAGAAGGAGAAGGACAGGCTGGGGCTTGGATAGCCTTTCATGCAAGAAGACACAGAACAGACTCACACAAGAAGACGCAGAACAGCCAGGGCAGCATAGAGAAAGAATAAGGAGCTGGGTAAAATCATTATAAGGAGAAGCTGGTTATCTAATGAACATTCAGTTTCTTACTGCACAAAAACTGGAGTTTGTTCAGTGAAAAAATTATCAGTCAGCAGGTCTGAAATAAATCAGAGAATTATCTTTTTACAGAAAACATAATTATAACTGAATCTGAATGCTACAGGATGGGGTAACAGCCAAAAATGTATGTGAAAAAGAAAAAAAAAAAAAAGACTAAGTAAAAGGTCTCTCAGAGAGTTTCAGACAGAAATCCATTACTGACTTCCAAACTACACACAACACCCAGTTTGGGAAACTCCCAAGCTGCTGGCTGCCAGCAGCAGGCACAATATACCACTGGGAAAGATTGCTTTAAAAACATCCTCCATTTTAGACTCATTCCCTGAGCACCCCACACAGGTCACCA